CCATCCTCCATCTCCCACCCCATCCCACTGTCCCCATGGGGTGGAGGTTAACAAAAAGACTCAATCTCTGTCCCGTTCCCCAGTAAGAGTTTGATGTAATCCCCCTGAACATGACATAAAATTCACCAACATATCATATCATCCGGTGGACATGAAGGACCTTTACTTCGGTACAACACAGTCTCATTTCTTGTTCTTCCTTCTTCTTTAGCTCTCCTACTTCCTCCAAGCCAAGCGCTCCTATAAAAAAATGATCCAGTTGCATTTAATAGAAAGCTAAACTCGAATAAAAACAAAAACTACGCGAGCCGGTATTGGTATCAGTCTATCAACAGGAACAATAACAATTTATTTAGCAATAAAAACAAAAATAATAAAACAATGACAACAAAAAAATCAGAAACAATAAAAGCAGCCATAACAATTAAAAACAATAATAACAATAAAAACAGCAACAAATCGATAATAACAGCAACAACAACATCTTTGAAAAATAACCAAAATAGCGATAATGATAACATCGACAATAACAGCCGCTAATTTAACGTACCAGCCCATTCTCCGCCCTGTTCTCCTGCTTCAGCCTGAGCTCCAACACCCGTGCCTCCTCCCTGTGCTGCAGCACCTGCTGCTCCTTCTCCCAGATGGAGAGGAAAACTTCCTGCTGCAGCCCTCGTGCCCGGGCCTCTTTCAACCACTGGAAGAAGCGCTCCATGCTCTGTGACAGTTTTAGAGGGTGAGTTTTTTTAAGTTGCTGTTATACATATATAACATCCTCCTTATCCCTCCTCCATTTGTTTGTACGTTAAAATTACTGTTACCCTGTAGTAACATTTCTCATCTCCAGCTCTTATACAATAAATAATCATGACCAGTTTGTGTTGCACGTGTGCACAACAGAAGACACAAGACAAGTTGATAAAACAACAAAAGGACAACAGCAGAGAATTCAGACTGGCGAGCACACAATAAAGGGATGAAACAGAAAGATAGATATATATATAT